GCAGGCCTGGGGTGTGGGTGGGTAGAGGCCCCGGGCCAGGCCCGTCCCTCGGCCCCCAGAGGCAGGGTGGAGCACCCCTCAGGAAGCACCGGGCACTCTGCCCCTGCGTGGGATCGGCCCGTGGTCTAGGCCCACCTCCTAGGCCCACCTCCGGCAGGAAATCCCCTCGCCCCTGCCCACGCCGCTTAAGGTGGACCCACGGCCTCGCAGAGCTGACGCGGGGTGGGCGGGACCATCTGGGCAGCAAGTGCAGCGCCTCTGGGACGTCGGAACCTCCATCAAGCTCCAAGGCCTCCCCAGTGAGCACCAAGTGTCTCTGTCCGCGGCACAGCGACCATCTCTTCCGGCCACGCCGACACAGGCCCATGGCTCCTAGAGGCCCCTCCATGCTGGTAGGTGGGCCTTCTTAAGGCCCCGGCCCCAAAGGCAGCAAGCTACTATTAAGGAACCCTGGATGGGGGCCAGACCCCAGCGTTAATGCAGCTTGACAGCAGATCTGGAGATGTGCTTTCTCCCACCACATCCAGTTGTAGCCTTGCCCACTCCGGGAGGCCCAGCCCTTGGGGGACTGGCTCTATGACAGGGTCGGGGGCAGTGGGGTGGATTCAAGGTGCAAAGGTGGACAAAGGACAGACCCCACCTGGAGCAGACCCCTCCTCAAGCCTAGCGGAGATGCCATAGACCTACAGGCCTAATACAAACAGGCCCTCGGGACACGGGACACCACACCAGCCAAACCCTGCCCCACCACTTCACCTTGTTCTTGCCCTTCTGCAGCCCTGTACAGGGAATGCTCCCCCCCACCCCCGCCACACACACACACACACACACACAAACTTCTGGTAACAGGGCCTGGACATAGGCCCACACATCAAGAGGCCCCTCCCGCACTGCACCCACAGTAGGGCCCTGCTGTGTAGGGGTGCCAGGTCAGCTGAGAGCTGAGGAGTGCCAAATGCTGGTCAAAGGAAGAGAGGGCTGTCATGTCTGTCTGCTGAGGTCCCTGCAGAGGGGGTCCTGGGTGGGGCAGACCCAGTGAGGCCACAACTCAGAAATACTCTACCCAAGGAGTTAAGATCCCAGGGAAAGGAAAGCGCAGTGATCCCAACCCCCTTCCAACCCACAGGAATGAAAAAATTGTAGGTCATTCCTATCTCTTCTTCCCCAATATTGTTAGCACCTCAATTCTGGCTTAACATCATCACCTGTGCCACCTACACTGGCTGGGGGCAGCAAGTGAGGGGGGTTAAAGGAACCCCTACTGGCGTCCTGGCTCACACTTGCATGTCTCCCCTTGCAGCGCCTTCTGTAGTGTGAACAGCTGCATCTTTAATGCACCCTGGTCACAGCACCACTCTCCTCCAGCAATTGAGGGGCTTCCCCGCTTGAGAGACATCTCATCGCCCAAGGAGTCAGCCTGGGGTTTTACATCAGGTGGGGTTAGCTTTCATTGGAGCCCAAAACAGCAACATCCATTCTGTGCTGAAAGGCGTGTCAAGCCCCTGGGCCCTTTCACATAATGCATCCAACAGAGGCCTCCCAGGGAAGGGGCATCTGCCCTCACAGCATCACAATTCCAACTCCAGAGGGGCGGTGCACACGCTTCAGTGTCCCTCCTTAGGTGAGAAAAACCACCGTACAACACTGACCTGTGCCCTGGGGCCTAAGGCTGCCAGGACACAACTAAGCTGGCCAGTGAAGTCTTCAGTTTTAAAACAAGAGTGGCTTCCCTTGGCGGTGCATCCCTGAGTGACCACGGACACAGTTTAAACTGGACAAACATCACAGGACACACGGGGCCAGCTAGACTTAGCCACACTGGAAAGACCCCTGGTAGGTGTCAACTCAAACAGCCCCTGGCGGCAGGAGCATGTCCATCTGGGTGGGCAGATTTGCTCCTCCCCCGCTGAGGGTGGGAAGGCCACAGCTCTTCGGGGCCTGGTTATTTGCCAGGAACATACCGTCCCAGGTGAGACCACATGTTTTCCAAAGCCTGCCGGCACACTAAGAATCCTCCCTTACGTGGGATGATTCTACAGAGGTAGCCCATCTACAAGACAAACCCCCAAATGGCACTACCCCATTTGCACTCTTGAAAGCATCCTTTTATTTAAGGCCATTGCAGATGTCCACAATTCCACCCAGATGGATGCCGAGAACACGTGGACGATGGGACGGTTTTCTCCGACGATGGCGATGAGGCCAAGGCCTGCCGAGGCACCGCAAGATTGGGGTTGGGTGCTACAGGACTGGCCTTTCCCAGCCCGAGGGCCGACCAGAGACAGCCTTGGCCAAAGCCCGGAGATCTGCTTGGCTTCCTTGTACCACAGCCAAGGAATCTGGTGATCTTCCTTTCTCTTCCCCAAAGGCAAAGGAAGAAAAAATCCTCTCTACTCCTCACCACCGGCAAAGGCACTTGAGGCCTTCAGGAGGCAGTACCAGCACTGGTCTCCCTGAGCCCAGTTGCCCCACTAGTACCAGCTCAGACATACCACAGCCCCAGTAGCCAACAGTGGCCCAAAGTCCAGGGCAGAACAAGCAGGGTCTGACCCAGAGTGCCACCCCAACCCCCTGGAGCCAGCAGGAACCCACACAGCTGCCAGGACAGGGCCAGCGCACACAAGGTCCTGCCCTCCGTGAAGGTTTCGAATGAGTTGTTTATTCACTATGTTTGATGACTATAAATAAGTGTTTCCACTATGGAAAAGAAAGTTAGCACAGTACATTTGCATGACTGGGGAATGGATTTTCTGGTCATCTTCAATAGGGCAAAAACTTCAAAAAAAAAAAAAAACCCACCTGAAGGTTGGAATTCAGTTCTTTATATAAAGTACCTTGTGAAAACAAAACAGAATAAAAACAAACCGAAAAGACGGGGCAGGGCAAATTTTTTAAAAAAGGAAAAAGGAACAGAAAACAAGGGCAGAGGACTTATTGCTTCTCCTCAGCTTTCTCCTTGGTCTCCTCCTCTCCGGACTCCTTGCTCTCCTCCACCGAAAGAGCTTCTAGCTTTTCAGCCACTTTCTCGGCATTATCATTTTTGCCCAATCCTCCTGAAACACGGGGAACACAGTAAGAAAACAGAGAAGCGCTCTTCTCCCCAGCCCACGCGGGAGCCTGACACTCCCCTCAGGACAGGCTGCTGTTCTATCGCCTGCCTCCAGAGTCACCCAAACACACACACACACACACACACACACACAGATGCCTGGGACCTCAGTCAGTCTGCTCAGTTGTGTCACTGGCTATGGCAGCCATTATCAGGCCCTGAATAAGCAGATGGCCGTGAGGACCTCTCAAAGTCCATTCAGCCTCTGTAGGGCTCCAGTCAGACACTGTGACCTGCCCACCGGCCCAAGGGCATTGAGGCCAGGCCAGTGAGCATGCACTGGGGCCTGGATGGCCAGCTCACTCCCAGAAAGCACCATGTCCCCGGGCAGCTGCGTCACCCTGCACAGGTCAAGATAGTCGCAGTCCCCGGAATGTTTCTGTGGCAGACTGAAAAAGCACCCGTCTGGGACTGCAGCCGGGTGCAGAGTGAGTCTGCAAGGAGGCCCCCACCCATGAACACCATGTTACCTTTCTTTTCTCTCTCTTCGATCTCTTTCCTGCATTCTTCAAACTTTGTCTTGAATTTCTGTGCATCTGCGGAAAGAAGAGACTTCCTCAGAATCCAGAGAAGTGAAGGGGACAAGTCCAGCAAGTGTGAAGAGCCAGGGCTCGGCCTGTCCCATAGCCACTCTGACAAGCTGGACCATCTAACATGACCCTGGACCCACTTCTGCCCAGACTGGGCAGCGACTGTTTCTTAGGTCCCTCCTGAGGCTAGCGGCTATGCTGAGCCGTCTCCTTCCATCTGACTCTGCAACAATTTGGGCACAGCAGCAGTATGATGGCCTCACGCAACCAAGGGCAAGGCCTCCGCCCAGGTACTCTGCCCTCCATTCAGGTTGAAGTAGCTGCTGGATAGGCCCCGTTCTAGAGCAGAAGCGAGGTTCACGCACACCAATGGTGAGCTACTGGGCCTCTGAGCTCCAGCGCCCACCCAACTCCTGCAGGGCCCACTGGGCACAGCTTTGACCACCTGGGCCGAAAAGACACCCAAGCAGGGGAGAGATCAGCCTCAGCCTGTGGATCTTAGCACAGCCCCTGCTGGCACCCAGGTGACCAGGTGATGGTGAAGGGAACCTGACTGGTGCAGCCTCCTTTGTGGTTAAGAGGGAAAGGCACTCACTGCTCCTAGACCTAGACGCAAGAGCGCTTGGCTTGACTGCACTTAGATCCCTTCCTTGAGGGCCCACCAGAGAGCAAGATAGTAACAATTCCCACCACAGCTTCCCAATTACCATCAATTCTCCCTGAAAAGCAAGTGTTTCTGTTTGCAATGAAACTGCTACACTGTAAAACTGGCGGCAGCACCCAGGCCAGCCCGGAGGCCGGCCCGCCCCCCATCCTGCTTACTTTCAGCATTGAGGAAGCGGATGGCCAGCAGCTCC